TACATACACTGCTGTGTATGATAATTTATGTAACTGTATTTGTGTATACCTGAATAAACTTATTTACTTCTAGTGTGTCAACTGAGTACAAGAAACCGCCCATTCAGTTATTTCAACTACCCAATAAAGTGGTCAGAAATTGGCAATTTGGCCGATTTCACACAAATTTCAACAGATGCCAATTTCAAAATAGGGTCCAGAATAAATAATGCAAACATTCCTGGCACTAAAATAACATTCTCTTTTCATTAGTCACAGCTGCAGGCCCTTCTTATATTACTCTTGCTTACCATTTGGAATTTTTATTCACAAAAAAAAAAAAAATTAAGATTTACTGTTATGCAGACTACTGCATTATTGTAATAAATGTATAAATAATGTCAATCCATTGTTGACTCCGTACTGGAATTTAGACTGGCAGGCAGACAGGTATTGGACGATGAGGTCATTTGTTTACTCTTGAGCTTCGCTAAAGAGTAGAACATTTTCGCTACTGTGAGTGCAATTTCAAAATCATATCTATTTCTGTAATATATCTTTCATTCTATCAAATGAGACCGAAAAAATGAGAATATAACCATAACAACCATACAAAAATACATATACCGCTAAGCGGCCGCTAATGGCTGAGAAGTGAACTCCGCTATTTATGGTCTGATTTCTTTCATTTTTGGTGTACGTGAAGAAGTATCTTTCCATCATACATTGCCCAAGTTTGAATGAGATAACCCAACAAACAACTGAGAAAATAATAATAATAATAATATCTTTATTTACTACACGTACAAGTACAAGATATACAGGCCTAGCTGACATCAGTGACATACCACTGTGTAGAAAGGCACTTGTTATGCTGAGTATTTCAAGAAAATTAGGTCAGTGTCCCAGGATAACACCCACACTAGTCAACTAACACCCAGGTACCCATTTACTGATGGGTAAACATAGACAACAGGTGTAAAGAAACACGCCTAATGTTTCTACCCTGGCTGGGAATCGAATATTTACCAGAAATCATATATGGCTAACCCAAGCCAGGTACTAAAAATAAGCCACGTTGACTTTTTTGGGGTTATCCTAGGTTCTCTACACACATGCTGCTATGTGTGATAACCTATAGAGAGAAAATAACTTTGTTTCATATTTATGGTGGAGTACGATTGTATATCATAGTTAGCCCTGTGCTATACTCTGTTTTCTCTAATATAAGCCCCCAAGACAAGGATAGAAGAATGGTATTTGTTTACCATATCCTCTTCATAACTCTGTCGAACTGCTCGGTGTTATGACAAATATTATTCATTCTGGAGTATTTAACATGTTTTATGTTATTTATATTGTTTGTCATATTAGATCAGTTGTGATAGGCAAATAAGCTGTAGTGTTGATATTAGCGTAATAATAAAGCATATTCTCCTGCTTCATGAGACTGAGCTCATGGCAACCAACAGTGGCTTCAAAGGTACCTTATCTTTAATGGATAATGTACTGTGTAGGTGCTTTACATAATGAGAAGCATTTCTTTTATTCATTGGAACCAAGGCTAGGGCTAAAAGTAAGCAGGTTAAAACAATAATGGACAAAAAGAAATTGGAATGACTTGTGCAGCAAGTAGCACCACCAAACAGTACCAGCAGGTTGGTGTGGCAACTCTGGAAATTTGAAATTATGCTAGCCAAAATTAGTGCCGAATAACTGAAGGAACCGAATAACTGATTGCCGGATTTGTGATGGTGGACCTGTACAAGGGCTTGGACATAGAGCAGGCATGCGAGTGTGTTAGACAAGAGTGCAGATGAATGGTTTTTGAGACTTGACAAGCTGTTGGAGTGTGAGCAGGGTAGTATTTTATGAAGGGATTCAGGGAAACTGGTTAGACAGACTCATGTCCTGGAGGGGGGAAGTACAATGCCTGCACTTAAACCCTTTGACTGTTTCGGTCGTATATATATGTCTTAGGAGCCACTGTGTTTGACGTATATATACAGTGGACCCCCGGTATTCGATGGCATCGGTATATGTTAAATTCGGTATTCGATAAATTTTAACTCCAAAATTTTGCCTCGCCACTCGTTAAAAAACCTCGCTACACACGATTCATCTCGGGATGCGTCGACGTGAGTGCCAGTGTTTATAAGCCAGGCAGTGTGCTCGCATGTAAGCATACATTCGGTACATTCCATATTATCACAGTGTTTTTGGTGCTTGTTTCTGCAAAATAAGTCACCATGGGCCCCAAGAAAGCTTCTAGTGCCAACCCTGTGGTAAAAAGGGTGAGAATTAGTTTGGAAATTAAGAAAGATTTTGAAGGGTTTTGGGCTAACCCTGAGAAGCCTATGCCTGTTGTGGAATCCATTGTGCCTACTTAAAAAATTAAGGAAATGTGTGCAAGGGGGTTGAACTGCAAACCTTTATGGATGAAAATCACCCTAACACAGCTATTGCAAGCCATGTAGGTGACTATTACAATGACAATGTTGTGGCCCATTTTAGACAAATCATAAAGGAACGGGAGGTACAGAGCTCTATGGACAGATTTGTTGTGCGACAGAGGTCCAGTGACTCTCAAGCTGGTCCTAGTGGCATTAAAAGAAGGGTAGTAACCTTGGAAAAGGACTTGCTACCTCAAGTCCTAATGGAAGGGGATTCCCCTTCTAAACAATAAGTTCGACACTCTCCCCTCCTCCCATCCCATCAATCATCACCAGATCTTCATTAAAGGTAAGTGTCATGTATTCTATCGTTAGTAGAGTACTACTAACTGTGCATGTCTTCTTCAGTCTGTGTGCATTAAACTTAATATTTCATGTGGTAAAACTTTTTTTTCATAGTACTTTTGGGTGCCTTGCACGGATTAATTTGATTTCCATTATTTCTTATGGGGAAAATTAATTTGCCTTCTGATAATTTTGGCATACGATGAGCTCTCAGGAACGGATTAATATCGTATTGGTAAATGGGCAGTTTCTTGTACTCAACCGATAGAACAAATGGATTTCTAAAGAAAAAGCTATGAATTTGGTCGACTGGAACAACGGAATTAGCCGAAAATAGGGCTCAAAGTGGGCAAAATCGCCGATTCGTAAATATCACCGAGGTCGCTAAATTCGCAAGAGCGTAATTCTGTCAGTTTTCCATCAAATTTCGTTCTTTTGGTGTAATTACAATTGGGAAAAGATTCTCTATCATTTCATAAGAAAAAATAATTGGGGGGAGGGGGGGATTTTGCGACACCATGAGACGCCTCAAGATTTGGGGTTGTGACAGTCAAGGGGTTAAATGAGGGGTTTTGGATATTTGCTTTTTAGTGACATCTAAACTGAGATATTTGTGTGCCTCTTCAAAGACGGTGGTAGTGTGAATGACAATGATTGGGGAGGGGGGTTACACTGCCTAGGTGGGAGATGACCAGCATCATCTTCCAACAAACCAGCTGTATCCCACCAAGCCAGGGTGGCCCATAAAGAAAAACGAAAGTTTCTCTTTTTAAATTTAGTAATTTATACAGGAAAAGGGGTTACTAGCTCCTTGCCCCCAGCATTTTAGTTGCCTCTTAAAACACACACAACTAGTAAGAAAATAGAAGAAAACCCAGAGGGGGAGTGTATATATATGCTTGTAAGTAGAAGTGGCAAGATGTACCTGAAATCTTGCATGTTTGAGACAGAAAAGACACCAGCAATCCTACTATCATGTAGTACCTCCTTGTGCAGTTGCTGTCTACCAACCTACTATCTAGAATGACCAGCATGTTAACCCTTTCAGGGTCCGTCCCGTAGATCTACGGCTTTATGGTGAGTGTCCAAACCGTAGATCTACGCCATGAGCTCAGCTCACTCTGATAAACTGTGAGTGGTACATTTGGGCCTAGATATGAGAGAATACATCTATGTGGTATGTGTGCACCACATAAAACAGATCCTGCAGCACACTGTGTATAATGAGAGAAAAAAACTGAAATCATGATTTTTTGATTAAAACAGCAACTTTGCAGTGTTTTTTCGTATGTTTTTTATAGTTGTATTTGCGATTTCTTGGTCTCATTTGATAGAATGGAAGACATATTACAGAAATAGAGATGATTTTGATTGGTTTTAGCACTGGAAATGGCTTGAAACTGAGCTCAAAGTAGCGGAAATGTTAAATTTTTGCCGATATTCAAGAGTAAACAAATGACCTCACACGTCTAATACACGTCAGTTTGGTGGGTCTAATATACATTCACAAATATGGTGATGATATTTTATACAATTATTACAGTATTGCATAGCAGTAAATCTTCTATTTTTTGGTGTGAATAAAAATTCATTATGTGAATAAAAAATCAAAATGGAATTTATTTGTAAAGCCTCAAAACATGACTAATGAACAGAGGAAATGTTAGTTTAGTGCCAGGAATGCCTACATTGTTTATTCTGGACCCTATTTTGAAATTGGAATATTTTGAACTTTGTGTTAAATTGGCCAAATTAACAATTTCCGATCACTTTATTTTGTAGTTGAAACAGTTGACTTGGCGATTTCTTGTGCTCAATCGATAGAATAGAAGTAATACTAGTGAAATAGCTAAGAATTTGGTTGATTGGAATAATGTAATTGGCCTAAAATGGGAGTCAAAGTCGGCAAAATCGCCGATTCGTAAATATCGCTGACACATCAAAATTCGCGAGAGCATAATTTCGTCAATTTTCCACCAAATTTCGTACTTTTTGTTTTATTACCTTCACAAAAAGATTCTCTACGATTTCATAAGAAAAAATAACAAATTTTTTTTTTGAAAATTCTTGGACACTGGTGCGTGACTCCAGATTTGGGCCTTGGACCCTGAAAGGGTTAAAAAAAAAAAAAAAAAAAAAAAAGTGCTTAGTAGACATTTATCATTACAAATTCTTATGAAAGTTATGCCTGAAAATGGGCTGGGATCTAATATATGGTGTGTATATTTAGTTTGAGGTGGTATTCTGACTTTGATATTGAAATTGAATTATTTGTTTCCACAGATGTTTATGTTGTTGTAAGAAAATTGGTGAGGGAGTATATGGTGAAGTATTTATGACTCAACCCAATCCCAGTAGCTTGGAAGGTGCTGCAGTTCTTAAGGTTATGCCCATTGAGGGAAATTTTTTGATGTAAAGGAGAACCTCAGAAAAATTTAAGGAAATTTTGTCGGGGGAGATATTATTTCTCTTAAGAAAAATTTTTTTTTTTTTTTTTTTTTTTTTTAAAAAAATTTTGTTGTAATGTATTAGTTATTCTCTTAAAATAATAAAATAAATATTAGTTGTTGCAGCCCTTTTATTCAATAAATTTATTGGCATATGGATATTAAAATTTTATTTGCATATTTAAGTTATTTCTGTATTTTGTTCTTTTTTCAAAAATTTCCTATGCTCAGTGAAAAAGAATTTACTGGGTTAGAGAACTGAGTAACCACGAAAGGCAGACAAAAAGAAAAGGTGCGAGAATTTTGTTCATTTATTAAATGTTGGGTGTGTACAAGGCGATATCACAGATATTACTCTAGGGGACTCACTGAAAAAAAAGGGTAATAATATTTTTTTTTTTTTTTTTTTTTTTTTCCCCAACAAGTCTGCGTCCCCCCCACCGGGGGCAGGGTGACCCAAAAAAAGAAAATCCCCCAAAAAAAAATACTTCTCATCATTCAACACTTTACCACACCGCACTTTATACTGTTTTTGGGCAGAGGGCTCAGAATACAAAGTCTAGAAGCATACCAATAAAGATAACAACAATCCCCCCAAACCCCAAATATCCCAAACCCCCTTTAAAGTGCAGGCATTGTATTCCCATTTCCCGGACTCAAGCCGACATATGAAAATAAACGGGGTTTCCCCGAAACCCTTTACAAATATTTCTCTGCTCACACTCCAAAAGATGCATCCCCAAATACCATTCGCTCCATTCACTCCCCACTAACACCTCACGCACGCTTGCTGGGAAATCCAAGCCCCCTTGCCCACAAAACCCTCCTTTACCCCCCTTTCCAACCCTTTTGAGGACGGGGCCCTACCCCCCTTTCCCTTTCCCCTATAGATTTATTGCTTTCCATTCATTCTACTTTGATCCATTCTCTCTAAATGCCCAAAAACCACCCAAAAACCCCCTTTTCGCCCCTGACTAATGCTTTTTTAACTCCAAAACCTTTCCTAATTTTTCCACACTCCCAAATTTTTTCTGCATAATATTTTCCTACACATTGCCCAAAAAACAGGACATCTCCACTGCCTCCAACCGTCCTCCCCTGCTGCATTTACCAACCCAAGTTCACATCCATATAAGAGTGTTGGTACTACTATACTTTCATACATTCCCTTCTTTGCCTCCATAGATAACGTTTTTTGACTCCACATATACCTCAATGCACCACTCGCCTTTTTTTCCCCTCATCAATTCTATGATTAACCTCATCCTTCATAAATCCATCCGCCGACAACGTTAACTCCCAAGTATCTGAAAAACATTCACTTCTTCCATACTCCTCCTCCCCAATTTGATACCCCAATTTTTTTTTAAACTAAATCTTTAATACCCCATCACCTACTCTTTTCTATGTTCACTTTCAACTTTCTACCTTTACACACATTCCCAAACTCATCCACTAACCTTTGCAATTTTTCTTTAGAATCTCCCATAAGCACAGTATCATCAGCAAAAAGTAACTGTGTCAAATTCCCATTTTAAATTTTTGATTCCCAAAATTTAATCCCCCCCCCCCCTTCCCTAAAACCCTAGCATTTACTTCCTTTACACCCCATCTATAAATATATAAACAACCATGGTGACATTACACATCCCTGTCTAAACCTACTTTTACCGGGAAGTAGTCTCCCTCTCTTCTACACGCCCTAACCTGAGCCTCACTATCCTCATAAAAACTTTACAGCATTTAGTAACTTACCACCTATTCTATATACTTGCAACATCTGCCACATTGCTCTCCTGTCCACTCTATCATATGCCTTTTCTAAATCCATAAATGCAATAAAAACTTCCCTACCTTTATCTAAATACTGTTCACATACATATTTCAATGTAAACACTTGATCTACACATCCCCTACCCACTCTAAAACCTCCTTGCTCATCCGCAATCCTACATTGTCTTACCTCTAATTCTTTCAATAATAACCCTACCGTACACTTTTCCTGGTATACTGAATAAACTTATTCCTCTATAATTTTTACAATCTCTTTTTGTTTTTTAACATTTGAAAATGTGTAAAAAAACTTTGATCTACTTATTTTTGTTATATTTGAAAATATGTAAAAAAACGTAGATCTACTTTTGTAGCACTACACATGTGAACGTAGATCTGCTTGGTCCGTTTACAGGTTAAACAAAAGTACAAACCACTCCAACACTATATCCCCCCCTGCTTTTAACATTCTTTCATGATCCCATCAGTTCCAGCTGCTTTACCCCCTTTCATTCTAAGTAATGCCTCACGTACCTCCCCCACACTTACATTCTGCTCTTCTTCACTCCTAAAAGATGGTATACCTCCCTGGCCAGTGCATGAAATTGCCGCCTCCCTTTCTTCCTCAACATTTAAAAGTTCCTCAAAATATTCTTGCCATCTACCTAATACCTCCTCCTCCCCGTCTGCTAACTCCCCTACTCTGTTTTTAACTGACAAATCCATACGTTCCCTAGGCTTTCTTAACTTGTTTAACTCGCTCCAAAATTTTTTCTTATTTTCATTAAAATTTCTTGACAGTGCCTCTCCCACTCTATCATCTGCTCTCCTTTTGCACTCTTTCACCACTCTCTTCACCTTTCTTTTACTCTCCATATACTCTGCTCTTCTTATAACACTTATGCTTTGTAAAAACCTCTCTTGAGCTAACTTTTTCTCTTTTATCACGCCTTTTACTTTATCATTCCACCAATCACTCCTCTTTCCTCCTGCCCCCACCCTCCTATAACCACAAACTTCTGCCACACATTCTAGTAGTGCATTTTTAAAACTCATCCAACCCTCTTCAACCCCCCCCCCTTCCCCCACTACTCATCTTTGCACTAGCCCACCTTTCTGCCAATAGTCGCTTATATCTCACCCGAACTTCCTCCTCCCCTAGCTTATACACTTTCACTTCCCTCTTACTTGTTGTTGCCACCTTCCTCTTGTCCCATCTACCTCTTACTCTAACTGTAGCTACAACTAAATAATGATCTGATATATCAGTTGCCCCTCTATAAACATGTACATCCTGGAGCCTACCCATCAACATTTTATCCACCAATACATAATCTAACAAACTACTTTCATTATGAGGTACATCATACCTTGTATATTTATTTATCCTCTTTTTCATAAAATATGTATTACTTATTACCAAATCTTTCTACACATAGCTCAATTAAAGGCTCCCCATTTACATTTACCCCTGGCACCCCAAATTTACCTACTACTCCCTCCACAACATTTTTACCCACTTTAGCACTGAAATCCCCTACCACAAGTACTCTCTCACTTGGTTCAAAACTCCCCATGCATTCACTCAACATTTCCCAAAATCTTTCTCTCTCTCCTCTACACTTCTCTCTTCTCCAGGTGCATATACGCTTACTATAACCCACTTTTCACATCCAACCTTTATTTTACTCCACATAATCCTTGAATTAATGCATTTATAGTCCCTCTTTTCATGCCATATCTTATCCTTCAACATTATTGCTACTCGTTTAGCTCTAACTCATATATATATATATATATAATTTTTTTTTTTTCCCAACAAGTCGGCCGTCTCCCACCTACCATCCGACTTACGACCTGCTCGACATACGACGACTCGACTTAGGACCATGTTTTTTATGCCTAATTTCTGGGAAATAAACAAGTGTTTGTGTTTTACACAGTGTTTATCCTAAACCTTACAGTATAAAATACAGTACTAACAGCATAAAAAGTAAAGTAAAACATGAAATACCAAAATAAAACAAAATATAGCCATTACAAAAATGTTATGTTGATATTCAGTAGTAAAGTTCGACGTACGTCCATTTCGACTTGTGACCGGTTTCTCGGAACCGAACTCGGTCATACATCAATTTTATTCACTGGGCCAGAATGATTGCAAGTTCTGTGAATGATCAGAACATGATAATAAAAATGTAAGTACAAGGCTTTTCAGCTTTTGAATTTCATTGTCTGATTTATATTTTTGAATTGGGTACAGGTTTTCCCTGTATGGGCATTAACAGTTATGTGATATTTCATTTCTATTGGTAATTAAGTGCGATATACATTTTCAGTAGGTAATGAGTAAAGTTTGCAAGCATTGGAAGATTTTTATTATGCAGAATTAAGTGTTGATGGCCTTATATAGTTTAATATACCTGGTATGGGCTCGGAATGCATCTGTTTCATAAAGTGAAGAACAGCTGTGTAGAATATTTTTGGTTTGTGTGTGTTATTTTTAAGATGGTATTAAAAGTACACTTATTGTACAAACAATTTACATTACATATTATACGAGTCTTTTTATTAATTATATTTGCGGCAAAGAAATTCATCTAGTGTTTCCACAGGGTCTGAGAATGATCGTCCAGATAGATTCCTCGATTCTCAGTTGTATATTGTGTTGGAGTTTGGGCATGGAGGATGTGATTTGGAAAGTTACATTTTCAACAATGCCAGAGATGCTTTGGCAATTTTTTATCAGGTAAAATTTAACTAGATTTTTGTTTTTTAAATGTTTTTTGTTTTCAGTATTTGTAAATACAGTGCCTGTTTGTTTATTACATTCATGTGATGTGGTTTGATTAGGTGTGCACTACTGTAGATGTTGATGCAATATTAAATTTAAAATAGTGTGCTTATTCATTAGGTTTGCAAACATTTAGGGCCCTTTATTTGCATGGAGTTCTTATATTGGGTGAGTCAAACCTGTATATCTAAAATACTCTCTCGATCTCTCTCGATCTCTCTCTCGATCTCTCTCTCGATCTCTCTCTCGATCTCTCTCTCGATCTCTCTCTCTCTCTCTCTCGATCTCTCTCTCGATCTCTCTCTCTCTCTCTCTCTCGATCTCTCTCTCTCTCTCTCTCTCTCCTCTCTCTCTCTCCTCTCATCTCTCTCTCTCCTTTCCACTCTCCTCTCTCTCTCCTCTCTCTTCTCTCTCTTCTCTCCTCTCTCTCTCTCCTCCTCTTCTCTCTCTCTCTCTCTGATCTCTCTCTCTATCTCTATCTCTATCTCTATCTCTCTTCTCTCTCTGTCTCTCTCTCTCTCTCTCTCTGTCTCTGTCTCTCTCTCTCTCTCTCTGTCTCCTCTGTCTCTCTCTCTGTCTCTGTCTCTCTGTCTCTCTGTCTCTCTCTCTGTCTCTCTCTCTGTCTCTCTCTCTGTCTCTCTCTCTGTCTCTCTCTGTCTCCTCTCTCTGTCTCTCTCTCTGTCTCTCTCTCTCTGCTCTCTCCTCTCTTCTCTCTCTCTGTCTCTCTCTCTCTGTCTCTCTCTCTGTCTCTCTCTCTGTCTCTCTCTGTCTGTCTCTCTCTCTGTCCTCTCTGTCTCTCTGTCTCTCTCTCTGTCTCTGTCTCTCTGTCTCTGTCTCTCTCTCTCTCTCTCTCTCTCTCTCTTCTCTGTCTCTGTCTCTATCTCTATCTCTCTCCCCTCCCCCCTGGCCATATCCCACTGAGGAAGGGTCACCCTGCCATTTCTTGTATGATTGTATATTCTGTTACAGCTCTAGGAAGAGTCAGCATTGGGCTGAAGTTCATTCTAAGGGAACTCTATATATAAAATGCATAGTAATAAATGTAGATGTGTTGTATGTTGAGTAAATTGAATCTTTGAATAGTTGGAGTGTGTTTTGTATAGAACCTGATTTGATGATTATTTTAACAGGTGATTTTTGTTGGGTAACTTAGGGTTTTATGTGATTTGCAGTAGTAGATCCCCAAGCACAAATCCCATAATACACAAATAACCCGCACATAGGAGAGAAGTCCAAGTTGGACCGAAAGATCATTGAAAGCTCCTCTCTCCTATGTGTGGGTTTTGTGTATTACTCCAGTCATGGTACTGTGCCTTTTTGTTATTTATAAATCTCATGTCAAGCTAAGGAGAGTAGTACAGAGTTAGCAGTGTTGTTTGTTGCTAGCAGGTTGTTCCTCCTAGCAGCCCACAGGTTTATTTAGAAATCACAACTTGGCTGCTGTGGTCCAGTTTCCTTTGGACCAGAATCATTGTCATAACTGATATTAAAAACTTACCCTGTGTTCTGATTTAATAAAATCGTATTTCATTGCTAGAGTTTTTTAGGTATATAGGGCTATTTCTCAAGCATGGATAATTATAATACTATCATCATGAAATAATGCACCACATAAATACAAAATAATGCATAAAAAAGAATTGTTGCTATAATGTAATGTGCATTGGCCCTTCACTGCCTTACAGGAATTCATAGGGGTCAAAGTGCTTGGAAAATGGGAGGTAATCAGGTTTGATTGTAGGAAGGTGAGGGTAGTTTCAGTACCTTAGGTCAGTAGCACTTCACAAGCATAAAAGTACCCCTAAATAAAAGCTTGTTTTGCAATTGTCATTTTATATTCATACTTGTCTGCAACATGCCACTTCATCCAGCTGGACTACTGCTACATTTGTTACCCTGAGAGAGAAGAGGTTTTTGGACTTGGGTGGGTAATAGTCTAGTGTACACTTTTATTTAGATGTGACTAGATTGCTTACTCATTCAAGTCTAATTAAACAATCTGCCTGAAGAATATGAGACCTGCCAGCAATAATTTTCTCAAGGATATAGTAGTAGGCTGGTAAACAGCAACTACCCAGGGAGGTACTACTGTCCTTCCAAATGAGTGTAAAACGGAAACCTGTATTTTGTTTTATACGATGGCAGGAGTGCTGATGTCTTTTTTCTGACTCATAAACCACAAGATAACGGGTATATCTTGTTACAATTAGATTACACTAGGCATGCATGTACATGTTTATGTATACACACCTGAGTTTTCTTTGATTTATTCTTAATAAAGGTCCACATCCCTTCATCCGAAATTCTGAAATTCGAAAAGTTTTGAAAACTGAAGTTTTTTCATGGAGTGTGGAGCGTCGAGCGTCGGTCATCTCCGTGCTGGACCACACCTCCACGTGGAGGCATTGAGAATCATTTTGAAATTTGAAAAGTCTGAAATTTGAAACAATACAGGCCCCAAGGGTTTTGGATGAAGGGAAGTACACCTGTAGTTCTTGTTCTTATTATTTCCTTTCATATTCATGGGGAAGTGGAATAAAAATCTTACCTCTGTAAGCCATGAATGTTGTAAAAGTCATTTAAAATGCAGGGAACAATGAGCTAGTAACCCCTTATAGCTTACTAAAAATAAAAAGAAGAAAACCTTCAAGCTGGGATGTTTGAATGTGTATGGATGTAGTGTGGATGATGAGACGATTGTGGACGTTATGAATGAAAAGAAACTAGATTCCCTGGCTCTAAGTGAAACAGCTGAAAGGGGGTAAGAGAGTTTGTGGGGAGAAATAAATGGGCTCAGGTCAGGGGTTTCCAATAGAGCTAGAGCTAGAGCTAAGGAAGGAGTAGCAATAATGTTGAAGGATCAGTTATGGCAATAAAAGAGGGAATATAAATGTGTAAATTCAAGGATGCAGCAGCGAGGAGGCGGTTGGAGGCAGTGGAGATGTCCTGTCTAAGGGCAATGTGTGGTGTAAATATTATGCAGAAAATTCGGAGTGTGGAAATTAGGAGGTGTGGAGTTAATAAAAGTATTAGTCAGGGCTGAAGAGGGATTGTTGAGGTGGTTTGGTCATTTAGAGAGAATGGATCAAAGTAGAATGACATGGAGAGCATAGGAATCTGTAGGGGAAGGAAGGCGGGGTAGGGGTCGTCCTCGAAAAGGTTGAAGGGAGGGGGTAAAGGAGGTTTTGTGGGCAAGGGGCTTGGACTTCCAGGAAGCATGCGTGAGCGTGTCAGATAGTGAATGGAGACGAATGGTATTTGGGACTTGACGATCCGTTGGAGTGTAAGCAGGGTAATATTTAGTGAAGGGGTTCAGGGAAACCAGTTGTTTTTATATAGCCAGACTTGAGTCCTGGAAATGGGAAGTACAATGCCTGCACTCTAAAGGAGGGGTTTCGGAATATTAGCAGTTTGGAGGGATATGTTGTGTATCTTTATACGTATATGCTTCTAAGCTGTTGTGTTCTGAGCACCTCTGCAAAAAGTGATTATGTGTAAGCGAGGTGAAAGTGTTGAATGATGATGAAAGTATTTTCTTTTTGGGGATTTTTTCTTTTTTGGGTCACTCTGCCTCGGTGGGAAACAGCCGACTTGATAAAAAAAAAAATCAAGGATTATTTGGAGTGAAAAGTGGGTTATAGTAAGTGTTTATGCATCTGGAGAAGAGGTAAGTGTAGAGAGAGAGAGAGAGAGGGATTTTGGGTTCAAAACTCCCTAGTGAGAGCAATTGTGGTAGTTGACATGAATGTGAAAGTGGGAGGAATGGTTGTAAAGGGTGTGGTAGGTAAGTTTGAAGTACCAGAAGTAAATGTATCCACGGTTTACTGTAGCCCAAAAATACCTCTTAATTTTTTATAATAATGGTCCCATAGCACAAAAGTAGAGAAGCTAACAGTTCTTTAAATCCTAAGTGAAGCCAGAAGTACTTCCCATTAGTGAAAAAGTGATAATTCTCCACTAATAGTACATAATTTATGAATTAACCCATTCACTGTTGGTCCTGTAATATTATGGCTTGCAAGCCAGTGTCGGTTCCCTAATACTACGCCAGTATTCTAGCAGTTTTCGATCTTGCAGGAGAAAGCTGGTAGGCCTGCATATGAAAGAATGGGTCTGAGTGGTCAGTGTGTGCAGTATAAAAAAAAATTTTGCAGCATGCAGTGCATAATAAGGAAAAAAAACGAAGACTGTGTTTTTGGTTTACAACACCGACTTTGCGGTGGATTTTCGTATGGTACTTAGGGTTGTATTCTCGCTTTCTCATTTGATAAACTGGAAGATATATTACAGAAATAGGAGGATTTTGAATGGTTTACGGAATAAAAGTACCTTGAAAATGAGCTCAGAGTAGCGGAAATGTTTGATTTTTGCTGATGTTCAAGAGTAAACAAATAATGTCGTTTTCAATACATGTCAACTGGCAGGTCTAATGTGCTTTCACAAATGCTCCTATGGAGAGGGAGCATGGACGCGGGGGTCGTCCCACAGTTACTAAAAACAACAGACATAGCCCCACTCCACAAAGGGGGCAGTAAAGCAACAGCAAAGAACTACAGACCGATAGCACTAACATCCCATATCATAAAAATCTTTGAAAGAGTCCTAAGAAGCAAGATCACCACCCATCTAGAAACCCATCAGTTACACAACCCAGGGCAACATGGGTTTAGAACAGGTCGCTCCTGTCTGTCTCAACTATTGGATCACTACGACAAGGTCCTAAATGCACTAGAAGATAAAAAGAATGCAGATGTAATATATACAGACTTTGCAAAAGCCTTCGACAAGTGTGACCATGGCGTATAGCACACAAAATGCGTGCTAAAGGAATAACAGGAAAAATCGGTCGATGGATCTATAATTTCCTCACTAACGAACAGAGAGAGTAGTCGTCAACAGAGTAAAGTCCCAGGGAGCTACGGTGAAAAGCTCTGTTCCACAAGGCACGTACTCGC